TTCAGACAAGTAAATTCGTCTTCCCTTCCACTTTAACTGGGTGTGTTAATTTTAACGCATTGTCTTTCAAAGGCAGAAGACTACAGTCCTACTTTTTGTTCCACATGTATCTAAACTTTATGCAGCATACACAACTTTATGATGAAGTGAGGCACTTAAAAATCATATAAAAAACCGCTTCTAAAATAAAAGCTAAGACACGGTTTTGAGAGAAACACCACAGTACTGATAATATGACAATTTATCATGGTTTGGCAATTTGCAATGGATGAGTCAAGATTTACATTATAGTTTGAAGACATCTACAGAAAGATAAAAGAGCAAACATTTGATATAAGATAATCCAATATGTTACAATGACTTCTCTGGTGTCACCATAAACTATTTCATAATAGTGGACCCTGGTGAATAATTCACACAATTTTGTTTTGGCTTGAAAAGAATTAGATTATTTTTCAAGAGTTGAGTGAACAATAAATTTCAGTTCTAACTAGAGGCATTGCAGATATAGACTCTAACCCTACTGTAAATATCTGTGCATGTAAGGGCAACATATATCAACGTATGTAGGGTTGCAAGATTATGCTCACATGCAGTAGGCCAAAAACAATACAATTGCACAATTTATCAGTAGGGTACATTATACCAGTTTTTATAATTGAGGCTGAGATTTTCAGTCACCTGAAGTGATTTGGAAGCCTAGTTCCCATCACAATTAAAGAGATTTATGCAAATTGAAAATCTCAGTCTTAAAGCACATATCTATAGGTGTGTACAGCAAGCTGGTTTGCTCAGGTGGTTGAACATTCTAATGATTCATTCTCCAAAGAGGGAGTGCCAATTACCCAAATTATTCATTTAGCTTTGACATTTGCATTTCTCCAAACAGCTGGCAATGCATTCTTAGTAATGTAAAATATGGGCCCACCTGAGTAAAAAGGGTGCAAGAATGACATACTTCTTAGTAATATGGACAGCATACAGATAACGCTAGGTCTGATCTTGATGACTCAGTCTGCTTTTAACATACTGTCTGCAGGGTCTCTCGACACAGAAATACATGTCCAATTTTTTTAATAGCAGCAAGTATGTATTCTAATATCCTCTTCTATTGTCACATGTAGATGTGTAACAGCACATCTGAATTGCATACTATTAGCCTAAAGAAAAATGTTATCAGTATTTAAGTGTCTGCACATTTGCAAGATTAAAAATGCTCCTGATTGACAAGAACTACAGTATACACAATTATAGTAATATATAAATTGTATGCTGTAATATTATAACATTTTATTTCTGTAATTTAAAAAATTCTGTAATTTAAAAACTTATAGGCAAGTTTTGCTCAATGCTTAGCTGTTCAGATTCACAAAGTTAAGGATGACAAACAGCACGAATGTTGTAGAATAATGAAATACCTACAGTAAGGATACCTGTATAGGGAAAATAATTCACTTTTCCTAGGTAGAGGCCTGGAAACTCTGATTCAAGCCAGTCTTCACGCCTAAGTGAAATGGACTCCTAGTGGACAGTAGTCCAACTGCAGTGTGCATTGCTAACGTAAATTAGCATAACTGATCTCGCGTTGCTGAAAGACATAATTGTAGACTTCAGCCCTGCTGTACACTAGTATTATGAATATGAGTTTCAGTTTTTAATTTTGGCACTCCCCTAATATTCACAAAGGAAGCATCATCCCCAAGGAAGAACCCTCTTAAATTCAACATAAAAGATTTACTAATTTTGAGTCCAACCCTGCCTTTCATGTGTACTCAGAAGAGTTTTGAGTGTATGGGAGTGAAGGATCAGGCACTATATGTAGTAAGAAAATTACTTATTCTAGTTGACAGTTTACTGTTGTTACAGTCACCAAACAGCTGGATGCTGTACAAGAGTTACAAGCAAAACTGAGAGGGCCTGGAAAAATAAACTGCTCTGTCCTCTCCAAATAGATATATTTTGGCTTACTAAATAGCTCTAACATGCATCATCCAATTGATTATTTTATACGTAAAGCACTTGTCAAATCAGTCTCTGACTACAAGGTGGCAGTTACTGGAAAAATGATTTGCTGACAGTTGTAAACTGTGCTGCCTTGTGCATGGTGTATGCATGTGGAGAAACCACGATAACGAGAGTGAATTCTGCTTTGGATACAATGGCCAATTCTCCCATTGCAAGAGTAAATGGAAGTTATGCAGATCCAGTTTGAAAGAATCAAGCTTTGCATCACAGTGTGACAAGATTTCTTAGATTATAATCACCTTGTAGCATCCATATCATTAGCACAACTGTATTATGGCTGAATTATGCCTTATGGATTCTAAAACTATGTTGGTACGGACATTTTTTACCTCTCTCTGGTCACTTTGGACAGTTCTCAGTTGCATTGCTGTAAGTCAACAGTTGCTCCAGTGAAGACAGACCTACATTATGCCTCCCTAGAACATTCAGTCATGCAGGATTATCCTACAAATGGGATTTTAAACTGCTTTCTTCCTGCTTTCACAATAACTCACATCCCAAGTAACAGTGAGAGGCCAAAGTCATCCTTACCTGAACTCCAGTGAATTCATTAATAGGGCCCACTGTGTCTTTTTATTGTGTCTGTATATTTTTAACTTTTCCATTTATCATGGAAGTCAAACAACTTTGTCAAAAATTATAATGGGAACAGGGAACAATAAGTTCTATACAGAGTGCTCCTAATTAAACTAATGGTTAACACTGAAACACAGCTGGTGAATGTCAACTTGGGAAGAGTGTACCCTTAAATAATGTTTTACATTTGAAAAAGGGGGTGGTGAATTTCACTAGATCTTCTATTACTCTGCCTTCCAGTATATTCTGAATTGCGATTTAAATGGGTCTTCTCTTTCTGCACAACTCAGTCGAATGCACGTCCAACACACGGACAATTTATTTGCACTTAATTATTCCCAGATTTTCAATCATGCATGTAGACTATGCTCAGTTTCCATTATTGTTGTTGTTGATTTAAAATCATACCATCCTTTCGTGTCTTTCAAATCAATCATTTTGAGGGCTTCTACTCAGATGGCCCAAAACAGAGTTATTACAGTTAAGAGCAATTCCTCCTTCAAGATTTATATAACTATTTTAAGTGAGTTTAAGCATTGGGAATATGTTATCAAAGAATGCCAGAGAAGAGAGAATGTGCCTAGATATGCTATACAAAGGACTTCTGCATTTTGACCTTGATACAGCAGGGTATTTAAGTATGTGATTAACGTTAAGCAAACAAGTAGCCTCACTGACATCTATAGGAACACTCACCTGCTTAAAGTTATGTACATTCTTAAGTGTCACGTTGAAGTTGAGGCCTTAGATACCAAGCTAATAGTTGCTCTAGGAATGCTGTAGAGGTCAACAGATTAGACCGGGGTAGGCAACCCTATGGCACACGTGCCAAAGGCGGCACGCGAGCTGATTTTCAGTGGCACTCACGCTGCCCGGGTCCTGGCTACCGGTCCGGGGGGCTCTGCATTTTAATTTAATATTAAATGAAGCTTCTTAAACATTTTAAAAACCTTATTTACCTTACATACAACAATAGTTTAGTTATATATTCTAGACTTATAGAAAGAGACCTTCTAAAAACGTTAAAATGTATTACTGGCATGCAAAACCTTAAATTAGAGTGAATAAGTGAAGACCCAGCACACCACTTCTGAAAGGCTGCCGACCCCTGGACAGTGAAATTCTGAAGCTGAGGCATGTTCAAAACTGGCAAAGACAAGGAAAAGAAAAAGAGAGCCTTGCACTTTAAAGTTAGAGTTCTGGGCCTGATTTTCAAAGGTTGCTGAACTCTTGCAGCTCCTGTTGAAGTTGAGCAGAGTTGTGGGTGCTCAGTGCCCTGGAAATCAGGCCCTGAGTGTATATAAGAAATTACCTCAAATCTATGCTTTAATGATCATGGAACTAACAGGGTCAGAAGCTACATTTGGTTGCTATTAACATTTCAAGGCACAGAATTTCATTTCTGTGTCTGTTTGCTCAATGTAGTGTTTTTAGTCTCTACAGCTTATTTGCTTCCTCCAATCAGTATCAGCCATCAATGTGAACTAGTCCTTGCAACCACATAAAAAGATCACATGGTGCTGAAAATTATCATCAAATAGTAAAAATCTTTATAAACAAGGGATTTAAGGTGGCAAAGGATGGTTCTATTTAGAGCCCATGTTACATGCTTTAATAGCATCATATATCCTGTTTATGAAGAACCACCAGAAAGCAAAACCCATATTATGCTTTAAACCGCTCCCGATAGTGTAGTGGTGGCTATGTGCCCAATTCCTATGATTAAACAATGGCATCAGGGAAAATCACTGAGAGTTTAAATCTCTTGGATTATCATTATAAAAATGTAGTTTTAATATTTTCCTTTCAGTACAGTGTTGGCCTCTCTGCAGAAAGAAATTAATCACAAACTATTTAAACTTATGAGAGATCTTGTAGTTAAATGTTTGTCAGTTGCACAGACAGCATCAGGTTCAAGGGTGTTCTTTCTCTCAGGCAGGAATTTGGGTGTAATAAAGAAAAAAAATCTGAAATCTTTTTTTGAAAAAAAAAAAAAGTGTAACAAATGATCACAGATGATAAAACTGTCATTAGCCTTAACATAACAACATACCCAGTGCAAAATTACTGACCTCACTTGTGCGGAAGAGACAGGTGAGCAAGTACAGATGGTGCATCCTGCATGACAGTTATTCTGCCAGGCCTAAGCAGACCGCCTGAGTGCAACCAGGGATTGTCAAGCATTAGAGGAGCACAGTGGGTAGACTGCCAACTGCTCAGCACATATGCCAGTGATCCAAAGGCTGACCATGCCTTCAAGCCTGTATACCACATGCCCTCGGACACGGAAGGGGATATTTTCAAGAGGCATGTTGACTTTCAATAGAAATTGTATGCCAAACTGACATTTGTGCTGTTGACAATCTCTGTTGTGTGTTCTCCCATCCTAATATCCTCAGGTGCAAGACTGCAATCTTCATCTGCTGGTACGTGGGGACAAGAGGCTCCTTATGCTTTCTACCCTCACTAATACGGAGGGCAGGATTTTGCCCTTAATATTTAACAGATGTCGCTCTAATCTAAAGGTAAGTCTTTCAAGCTCTTCATATCTGGAGGCTGCTCATCTTGTACTTCCACAGTTGCTTACTGAGGGAACTTCAGCAACAACTGAGAACACCCACCCACACAATGTACACATGCACAACGCGGCCGACACTGACTGAACTGAGCACAGACCAAGAGCAGAGCTGTGTCGCCCTGTGGACAAAGGGCCTGAAGGTGGATGCCATTATCCAGTAGCACAGTAGTCTAGTGAACTGCCCACGGGACTGCCCACCAGGAACTCCCAAATTCTAATCCTGCCTTTGCTACCAACTCCTTCTGTAGTCTTTCGGTCAACAAGAACTCGATCTTACTCCCACTGAATTCAGTGGACTATTGACTTCATTGCTAATTGGATGAACACCCTTAACCTCTTTGACACTGGCACTGGCCGAGTGTGCTGTAAATTCTCTCTTTATAGGAACCTGCCATTATTTACTCTAATTTTTGATTCACACAATTATATCCAAGATTTAAACTGTAAAGTTTCCTCAGGATAAGTTTTCTGAGAGAAGTGAGGCCTAGTATTCTAGGTAGAGCTTCATTTTGTAATACCACTCTGTACTGAGAACGGTCTCATTTTTTCGTCATTGGCCAGTTTTACAAAGGGAAATGGGGTTGCTTGAAATCAGTGCTCTGCTTTTGTAGCCGAGTTGAGAACTGATCTCTACCATTTCTGGGGTGCCTCTGAAACCAGGCATAAACCCAATCTGCATCCACGGGGTTTGCAATAAGATCGGACAACAGGAAAGTAGGTTAGTTCAATCTTTTCAAAGTTCAGAGGTGAAATCTTGGCCACACTGAAGTCCATGAGAGTTTTGTTACGGATTTCAATGAAGCCAAGGTTTCACCCCCAGATCTTCCAAACTCACTTGAACGGATTCTCACATCTTTATTTGCAAAACCTGTTCAAGCCAAACTCGGGAGGCGGTTGCACAGCTTTAAATGCAACACGTTTCTTTGGCAGTCAATTGAAGCTAGAATATGCAGCGCCGTCCTATTTTGGCACAAAAATGTCCTCAGGTTTGAGCAAATGTCAAGCTGCGTGAGGCTCCAATCTACCACAGTGGACAAGTTTCCTGCACAGAACAGAGCGTTTATATAGCTTTACGCACACTACCAGTCTGAAGGCACACACTGCCTGGTACATGAGCACAGCCTTATATCTGGGTGAATGCAGACAACTTCTCAAAAGGAGACCCACTCGTTTTCATTATTAACATTCAATAAAAGGTAAACCGAACTGTTGATAACACACATTGTTTATTTACATTAGGTGTAAATGAGAGAGTGTCAGAGCTTGAATGTTGTAAAATTACTCTCTCTAGACAGGTGAGGGGAGGTTTTTGCTCTCTTGGAACATAAGTCTGGAGGTTTACACATCCATAATTAAAATACAGCAGGCATACTTTACTTTTAAAAGTATCACATCAAAACTGTTGGTTTTGGCTTATATGTTTCTCAGTGCGTATTGCCCTCTTCATAAAAGCCTTTCCACCATAAGACAGAGACAATACAGGCATCTCCTTCTTTCCCTAAACTCCTACCAACCAACAAAAAGAAAAGAGGAAATAAGCTCTAAAAAAGAAAAAGAAAAACGACTCTACCCCAAGCAGAATTTTTACTCCCATAATGAAGTGCCAGAGACCCCATGAAGTCTACTAGGGACTTTGCAATTGCTATTTATTTTAGATGGAAAGCACCAAGGGGTAGATTTTTAAAAGTAATTAAGTATCTACTTCATACTGAAACCAATGGAAGTTAGGTGCCTAAATACCTTCAAAAATCTGGCTCCCAGATACTACAACGATGAACAGAGCAGCATAAGACAGATGGACAGATGTTTTGCTTTTAGAATTGTTGCTATTCATTTATTTCAGCACCATTGAACCAAGGCTGGGATTTCCAAAGCAGCCAGGTACTCAGCTCCCACTGAATTTCAATTAAGAAGAGGGCACCTAACTCCATTTGGTTCCTTTGAAATTGCCCCGACTAACTCAATAAGACCAGAAACAATAGTCAACTGTTCATCAACTTTTCTCCATCCTGCAGGTACCTCACTCAGTGCTGGAGCACCTTTTAACGTGCTCACTCACATGGAACGGCAGGGAGATGGAACAGATGCCTTCAGTTCTTGTGCTCCCGGAGCGAGTTTGCGAGTGAACTGTTATGAGGAAGCTGCTGATGCCTTGTGGGAAATCTTTGAAAAACATTTTATTTGGAAACAATTCTGCATGTACCCCATAGCATATTTTCTCTATTTCGTTCCTCTTAGTCTGGAATTCTTATGAGAGCAGTTGTTGCTTTTTGGAGGTGAAGATTTCCATTACTGTCTGATTTCAGACAGGATTTCCATGCCTAAGCTGAAGCAGCAATTAATGCAGACTCTGTTTCCACATCTCCTACAGGCTGGGGGTGTGTGTGGTTTTTTGCTTGTTTTTTTGCATTGATGCAGAACGTCTGGCATGTTGGCTCCGACAGGAGTCATACTGAAGGGGATTGGGGAACACACACAAGCATAAGTGGAGGTTTGTTCCCTTCCCTTCTTAGTTAGGTATTTTCTGAACAGTTCCCCATAGCTCTGCTTTGCACATATTGACACGGATGAAAGTGAGGTGGTGCTCTGAAATGTGACAGTAAAAGTACATTTTATTTATTTAAATTTATTCAACACAGAGAAGAGAAGTACTTCACCCCAAGATACAAGCACCCCTTACAAATCTTAACATTTACAAAAAATCACACTAGACTGCTTGGAGTTCCATACTCATTGCATCTTACTACCTTCACCTCAGATGTACCCAGTCTGCAAATAAAAAAGTTTTTAATAAGTGCCAGCCCTGAACACCCAACTTGGGATCCAAGACCGCAGCTGGATTCTTTTTTTCCTTCCACATCATTACAAATGCCAAAGGTATCGAATGACAAACTATATCTTCAGTTACACATGTGCAACTCATTTTATTAAATTATACCCTGTGTTACAGCCACACAACCTTGTTAGCCTTCAGTTCAGTGGCAGAGGAGTAATTCTGTGTGTTCTGCAGTATATTTATTACTGGCCGCTATGTATGAAAAGGCAAGAAACCAGCTTGACTGTCACAACCCATGTTAAGTCTCCAGGAGTGGTAGTTTGAATAAAAAATAGCTTTATATTGGTAAATTAATTAAAACTGATATGGAATCAGAGAGACACACTAAGTCTGGAACCTTACAGTGCTATTTTTACAGTCAGTTTTCAGAGACGAACCTCACTTTAAAGCACACATAGACTGAAGCAAGGGAATTAGACACCCATCCAGCAAACACATACGAGCTTATCTTTAAGAATATGAGCAGTTTTGTTGAGCAAAGAGCATCGATGCACATGTGCAAAGTTATTCATGGGTGCAAGAGATTGCAGAATTGAGGCCTTCACGGATATAGTAGCTACAAGGATTATTATCTTTTTCATTAAATTCACAACAAAATCATGCTGATTTTTTAAATTATAAAATCGAGTTCTTGTTGGATCCATTTGACGGAATTCTGCCTTCAGCTACACCATGGAACCCCATTGCCTTGGGATTGCACGTAAGTAACTGAGGGTAGAATTCTTCTTTCCCTCCCTCCCTCCCAGCCAGTGATCAGGCCACACTCCCAATGACTTCAAGAGGAGCAGGATTTGGCCCTTTGTATCTGTGAAATCCAAGAAAGAGCAGCTTTAAGGTGCATGCAGTAGAGATTTGATGAAGCTGAACCCAAAGGTCCCGTAATCTTACTTATGTTACATAATGCTACATTATATTTAAAGATGCACTTCTGGGACTGTGTTGCTGATACCTATTATTATACAATGGCTCCCAGGGGAGCTATTGTTGAAATAAAATCATTTTTATAAAATAAATGAATAAGCAAATCAATACATAAAATAGGTTAAAACACACTAAGATATACAATTGGCATGTAAGTTGTATAGCTTATCAGTCAAGCATTTAAGATTTACCCCCTTCATGTTCAGAGTTGCTCGGTAACTTAAGTGTTTCTGTGTGTTTAATAATGAATGTTTAAAACCACCAGGGATCCTATCTGCAAAGCACTGTACAGGGTTTATGCACATAATTTCAAGCTACTGCTGTGGAAATTTACCCCCTGATGGAATTAGTGGAATTTTAGTTCTGCAAGAATATGCTGTTCTGATAAACAGAAGTATAGCTGTGCCAAGTTAAGAAACCTCTTAATTTGCAGAAAGGATCCAAAAATATCTTTATAGACTTGCTTAGTCACTGATTTCAGTTTTTAGTAACAAAATGCATGCACTGAAAATATTTACATTATTCAAACAGTGCTGCCCAAGAATGGATTTGGCAATTTTGGAGCATTAATCTGCAACACCCTGCAGCTTTTCCCTTTAATTTTTTAAGGGATATAATAATTATTTTTTAAAGTTGATAGCCCTCAGTGGCTATAAACATTCATTATACATAAGTGCAATACATTAGATGCCTTTCCAGAACACAGAGTTGTATCTAGACCCAACTGTCTGCGAGTGGCATTGCAGATTGGAAACAAGCAACAAGCAATAACTCACTTCACTGATACAGAAAATACATACTTTAATCTTGTTAATTTTTTTTATATGAATTCAAGGAGAGGTTATAGAAATAAAGCCAATAAGGACAAAAAATGAAGGAAACTGGCAATATTACTCCCAGTGACAAAAATGATTTTGTTTAACGCAATATGAGCTTACAAATGAGAGTATGAAGCTTTTAAATATTTTGCCAGATGGCTATTTCATGGGGTTTCTATAACCTAACAGCTATTCGCCAGTACAAAAGTATTTGATGTGAATGGATGTGACGATGTAGGAGTAAAAAAGAATGGAAAGGGGATCAGATTCTCATCTGCAAAGAGATACACTTGGTGCAGGTCAGGAGAGTAAGGTAGCCAGTTACAGCTCCCTGATTCTCAGGCTGCACTGGCTCTGACAGAAATTAGAGCAACTTAGGGGCTGCTCTAACTTACAATAGCTGGTCATGATCCCTCCAAGACCAACTGAGTAGTGCCAGGGGGGGTGAAGTTTGGCTCTGCCTCCTCCCCACTTCTGTCATACCATCACCCCAGTGTGAGATTGGTGAAGGAGTCAACTCTGCCAGCTTTATGCTGGATTAAAACTCATTTCCATGATGGGATTCTCAACTGGTCAGCTGTGGCCAGACTACCTGCTTTGCACTGCCAAAGGAATGCGAAGGACACAGAACTTAGGCTGTAAACTCTTTGGGATGGGGACTGTCTTTTTTTTTTTTTTGTTTGTCTGTGTTTGTGCCTCACCTGGCACAAGGGAGTCTTGATCCACAAATGGGGCTCCCTAGGCTATATGACAATGCAATTAATAAATAGGAATAATAGAACTGGACCTGAGAATCTGGCCTATTATGTTACAATACATAGATGTTAAATTATACAGTCATATGAACAAGAAAATATACTATATCTTCATGCTGAGATTTACAGTGTTGCACTATCATCAATGATAAAAAAAAAATCTACTATAGTCAGGAATGACCATGAATGTGTGTTTATTCCTTTGATGGGATAATTCGCTATCTGTTACTTTGTGTTTCTTTTCTGCATACAGGGATCCCTCATAAAAACTTTTCAATTATCTTAGATAACTTGATAACGTTACCTCAGAATGTGCAAGTACTCCATGCCCTAACCATAGGGAACATTGCAAATAGGACCTGATTCAGTGTCACGGAAGTCAAGAAAACAACAAGGAGTCTGGTGGCACCTTAAAGACTAACAGATTTATTTGAGCATAAGCTTTCGTGGGTAAAAACCTCACAGAACTGAAGAAGTGAAGTTTTTACCCACAAAAACTTATGCTCAAATAAATCTGTTAGTCTTTAAGGTGCCACCAGACTCCTTGTTGTTTTTGTGGATACAGACTAACACAGCTACCCCCTGACACTTGAAGTCAAGAAAAGGCTCTAACTGATTTCAGTGTAAGGACAAGACCTAAAATTTAGTAACGCTATCCAATTATCCAAGACAAAACAGGAAGAGTTTAAAGGGTGACCACTGTATTTGTTCATTACTTTTAAATACAGTGTATTACTGGAAACCACTGTTTTTGGAAAGTTTATACAGTCACAACTTCTACTGTTACTAACCACATACTTTCAAATAGTAATTATTGGCCTCTCTCTCTCTTTTCCCCCCTGGTTCAGAGACATGATCCTGCACTATTGAAGGGGTTGTTTTGCTACTGGTCTCAAACTCAGCAGAATGAACCCTTGATGAGCATCCCAGAAGTGACTCTTGCTAGAAACTCTAAGCACTAGGCAAACTCCAGTCGGCATTTGGAAATTAAAGGGACTTTGCTGATGTTCGCTGTCTAAAATGTGTCCTGCCTTCAACAAGATCAGTTTTCAAGGATCCCCTGTGCTGATCCTAGATAATCTACCAGTTTCCCCCAACGTCAGCTGCAAAACTAATCAAGTTCCCAAACCGAGAGGACTAGTTGGTACAGAGGGTTAACTGAACCAGCTTTTCACCTCTGTAAACCAAATTGTGTTTCAAAGCCATAAACGAAAGGGGTTTTTTTTTTGAGGTCTTCCAAACCCCATCTTCTTCAAAACCTGGGTGTGACCAGAAAATATACATTTTCCTTTCCCAAGTCCTGGTTTTTGAGCTGAGCAGCTTTATTGGAGATATGGCTTTTTCAATGACTACAAATATGCTCAGTGAAAGCTCCAAGTAACAACGCAGGTTGGAGCAGACATTGGAAATCTAAGTATCCTGGGGACTCAAGATTTTGTTTCTTAAAATATGATTTCATAGGATCAAATCTTGAAGCTGTCACTCAGTCACAGCTCCATTTAAAGTCAGTGAAAGTTCTGCCTAACTAAGGACTTAGTGAGGAGTCCAGTCCATCCATATAGCTTAATATGTAAATAGAAAAATAACTCTTAAAATCAAAAAGAAAAGGAGTATTTGTGGCACCTTAGAGACTAACCAATTTATTTGAGCTCACGAAAGCTCATGCTCAAATAAATTGGTTAGTCTCTAAGGTGCCACAAGTACTCCTTTTCTTTTTGCGAATACAGACTAACACGGCTGTTCCTCTGAAACCTGTCTTAAAATCAAATACAATTTTTAATACAGAAGAAAAAAGTATATTTAGATTAGGTTCTTAATGCAAGCCTCAAACTAAGTCCTGCTCTGCTTGCAGGACATGGCATTACTCATGTGAGTAAGGCAAACAGGACTTGGCCCCTAACTGCTGGCATAAGTGAAAGCTGCAACTACAAATTTTAAGGTGAGGAAGAAGGAAATTCCAAAGGACATTAAGACTGGCAGACCTAAAAACAAATAGTGCAGTATCTGGAGGTTGTTACCCTCTAAAGCAGTGGTTCCCAAACTTTAACAACCTGTGAACCCCTTTCATTAAAATGTCAAGTCTCACGAACCCCCTCCTAAAAATGAATATTTCCAGGGATTTTCTCCTTTACCCGAGTATAAATTATAAAAGCAGTGATCTTGGAAATATAACATTTGTTTTTATGACATGCTTATTACACACTATTATTAATTATTATTTATAATTACAGTATTTTTATTACATTATGAAAACAGCAACACTCTTCCAAGATCTCACTTTTGTAGCTTGTATCACTTTGAATAAGCCTGTTATAAGAGAAGGCCTCTATGTTTCATCAAGGGGTATCAGATGTGAAACAGCATGAACATATTTAAGAAACCAACTCATCGTTCCTCCTACTCAAGCATTCAGGTCTTGAGCAGTCCAGGCAAACAACACGCGTTACAACAAAGCTTAAACTTGTTCTTTGTCATCATTTTAAAAACAATACTAGCTGCCTATTTAATTTTAAAAACAGCAAAAAAAATCCACCTCCCTTTCCATTTCTTATAAGGAGTCTTTAAGTTTAAATCTCCTCTGTGTGATAGATATGCTTGCTTTGATCTGCGTAGCTCTTGGAAGTCTAGGGGCTCCGGGCTGCTGACCAGGGTCCCTAGGGACAGCTCTGTCTGCCATTAGGGAATTTTTTCCCCGAGAACTCCCTGTAACATTTTGCGAACCCCAGTTTGGGAACCACTGTCTAAAGTATATACATACATTTTAAACAGTAAATACAGTATGACAATGGTAGGACAAAAACTATATTTTATGCACACTCCTTCAGAGAGCCCAAGCACCAGTGTGTTTATTCTTAGTAAGTCCAGTACCATTCCGAATCATAAGAGGTACAGGTGAAAGTATAGATTTTCAAAGTGAGGTCACAGTCATGGTATGTCTAGGCCAAGACTTAGATCTGCTGTACCAATCTCGACAATATTCCTTTAGGTGAGAGCATTCTTCAAGATTATTTGGCAGCAATGTAAATTTGTATGGTAGCACAACTGTAAAATAGTCACCTTTTTTCCTTTCCGCATCTGCATTAATGTGGATTGCCTGCACTTATCAAGAGCAAAGCAAGCCCCATAAAACTCAAGGGTAAAAATTTAAGAAGCGTCTCAGGGACTTAGAAGAATAAACCCCATTTACAAAAGCCCTGTAGGGTCAGATTTTTAAAGGTATTTAGGCACCTAAAGATGCAAATAGGTGCCAAGTAGAATTTTCAAAAGTGCCTAAGGCCCCGACTTTTAAAGATTCTGAGATGTTGCTACATCTAACTCATTTAGGAGCATAAGTATTTAGGTGCCTTATTCCTATCGAAATAAATGGGAGTTAGGCACCTAACACCTCTGAGGATCTGGTCTGAAGTCTCACTGAAGGCCAATGCGAGTTAGGTGCCTAAGTTACATTTGAAAATGGGACTTGGACTCCTAAGTCATTTCAATTTTCAATTGTTTTTTTCACCCAAAGTCACATAGATAACTATTTAGAAAAGTAAGTTCAAACATTAATTCTGGAAGTCTGTTTCCTACATTATATCTATCTATATCTGCTCTGACAGCGTATCAGACTGTCCATAGTTCGTCATGGTGAAAAACAGACAAAATCATTTACTATTCTCACTTCTTGTTCTCAAATTATATACGTGATGAACTAAATTTGATGCAACTGCACAAAACTCAATGCAATTATACTAGGGATGAATTTGGCCCCATCAGTTTACTTTGCAACAGTCATTTGATGTACAGTACTTTTTTTTAAAAAAAAAATCTTTAGGAGTTTTACTCTTCTCACAGCTGATTTACCATCCTACGTATGGTTAAAATATACTAGTAGCATGTGTGACAGGTAGGGCAATGTCCAGCAATATCTTTGGGAGATCTTACTGTACTAAGTTTATGTACCATTGTGGGCTAGTGATCGTATTTAATTCCGGGGGGGGGGGAAGAGGGGGAGAAGATGACCACAGCCCCTACAGGAACTAAGAACATTGGGGAGTGATCAGACAAATTGAAAGGTGATTAGGCAACAGGTGCCAGCACCTGGAGAAATTCACCTATACAAGTTCAACTGGATTCTCCAGAGGCCAACAGACTAAGAACGGTCTATTGGATACATAGCCCAAGTTTAAACTGATCCAGGACCTGCTTTCTGATCCAAACAATGGACAGGACCTTCTGTCCAAGGGGACGGCCCCAATTATTAGGGAAGGGTTGGAAGGACTGATACCAACAAGAGTCCGTGTGGAGATGGGGTGATCTCTGGTAAGCTAATTAGCATGTGTATAGGTTCTCATTATTTTTAATGTGTTTTCTCTGTAAAGCTTTTATCTTAAGAATAAATGTGCTTGCTTAGGAAGAGCTGTGTGGTATCTTAACTGAGGACCCTATTATAGCCTCTGAGGCAAAGGAAAATCTGGCCTGCTTAGGCAGTCTCACTTGCTGGGGAATTCACAATGTAGGGAGGGAACCGAGTAGCCTGGAAATACCCCTGTCAGGAGGGGGAGAAAGATGTGTGCCTTCAGCCAAAAGAGTTGATCTCTGGGGAGACTTAGTGCATCATAGAGGGGAAATATAGATGCAGTTGCCTTGAACTGTGACAGTATGTTTTTTAATAGTTATACAAAATGAACCATAATGCTTAGCAAAAAAATAACTAGAGAAAAATTGTCTTAAATTAGTATCCAATGTTAACTTCAATTACATGGAGCAGATAAGTGTTTAAAGCATGAAACCATTAGCTTATATTTTTAAGGCAATTGTTTTATGGAGGATGGGGAAAAAACCATGAAAGAATGACAAGAAAAAGCCCTTTCATAGGAGAAGAGTTTACAAATTTCAGACTGATTATTTATGATAAATGTCTAGTGACTATTATCCTAAAAGCAATCATCTGTGCAACAGTTATTTTAGCACAGTGTAAAATAGTATTATACTTTCCTGACATTAATTTGTCTTGATTATTTATTCTAATGATTTTTTATTTTTATTGGTACATTGAATTACGGAAAATGCAGCATAATTTAATTTTCACTATCATATAGGAAGAAATCACTGGAGGCATTATAATGATGAACGAACAGCTATGCTAATACCACAAAAAAAAGATGCAAAAATGATTTATGTTACTTTCTTCTTCTATTTGCAGTTCA